ATATCATTTGATCTAAACCACAGACCTAGAGAGTAGAGTTGCTTTGTGTTGCTATCCTGGTTGGTGTTGTTTGTTTTAACCCCATTTTACAGATAAGGAAACTAAGACTTCGAGAGGTTCAGTGACTTGGTCAGAGTCAAGTAGTAAATCACAAAGCTGGGTTTAAACCTAATGGTGTGACGACAGAGTTCAGTTCTTCAAGCACCAGATCTTGGAAGACACCTTTGGATGAACGTGAACATTTTCTCAATGACCTTGATATGATTACCAGTGACTGGGCTCTGTTGTGACACAAACATGTGCCCTAACCCAGTATGGTTCTTGATGGATGTGCCATTTCTATGCTTTTCTGACTTTCCCCTCATAGTCATTGCTGATTGACACCAGACACTGGCTTCTTCCTTTCAGTTTCTAGTTTGCTGATACTGATCTTCTCTAAACAAAGACCCCAGGAAACCAATTTTGTTAGGATTTTATCTAAAATAAACTCTAAGAAAGGATCACTAGACAAGTAACAAAGAGTTTGAGTTTACTAAGTATATATTATGTGCTAAATGCTGAACATGAGCACCTCATATAATCTTCCCAACAAACCAATGAAGCAACTGTATTAGTCATTGCATTACAAAGATGAACACACTGAGACTAGAGCCAAGCTTAGCTCTGAGAATAGAGTCACTTGCTTAGCCTGTGTTAGGGCGCCTCCATCCATTTGGGAGCATATAATTTTGTTTAGGGACCCCTTTCCCTTCTATTAGATCATAAGCCAAAGCTCCTCATTCTACAGAAATGGAAGCCCAGAAAGGCTCTTGTGGCTCAAGAGTGGCCAGCTCAAACCCAGACACTGCTCTGTTCTCAGCTCTGGTGTCAATAATTGAGGTTTCAGATAAGTAACCACCAAGAAAATGTGATGTGACTGCCTGTGGTAGCATCATATAATCTTGAACTTGACCATATACTTCTGACAATTGCTACCTCGTTCATGTTGAAAATGTCTCATAGTTCCAACTAGATGTGTCTTTGGAGTCAGAACTCTACCACTACATATCTGGCATGGTGTCAACTCATCCATGCTGACTGGTTTGGCGAGCTACAAAATAGAGAATGTTTAGGGGAAAAGTTTATAGGGATATGGCCCCCTAGACACCCAATCCTAGAGGAAGATGGATGAAAGTGTTTAGCTCACAGGTGAACTTGTAGCTTAAATCTTTTAGACATCCAGTCATTTTAGTTAAGAGAGAAACATGGTTGACCTGTACTCATGGAGGTAGTTACTCTAAATACCAACAGAGAGAGAAGGAGTCTTCCCATCAAGTATCACTGCTATCCCCTCTATACACAGGGTAGATAGGGACGGGCAACTTAGACATTGGCTACCTAAAATGAGGGGGTGATAATGACTAGCTTACAAGGGTTCAAGGGGGAGCTCAGTTTAAGAGTGTGTGGGGGAAGATAAGAGTCCCCACTGAATAGTTTTGATCTTGTCTAGATGGTTCTGGTGAAAAGAGATGGGGATAAGATTCTTATGATTCGATATTGAGTAATTATTATCATGACTAACTGTGACTGTCACAATTGTAAATGTAGAAGTTTTGTAACAAAAACAAGGGAGTGGTTAATCTTACAGTCCAGAAACAGAGGACCCTAGGACCACCAAGGAAGAAGAGCACAAGTGAAATGAGAGACCTTATCCAGAAAAGCAGTGACACCAGAGATGGAGGCAGAGTTGGGGACATAGAGAGGGGGAGCAGCTGAGGACTTTAGATGCATGGGAAGAGAGGGACTGAGAGTTGGCAGCCAGGTGGCAGACTTGCAGAATGTGCTCTTTGGTGGTCCAAATTATTATGTATGCCTGAGTGTTTAAAAAAAAAAAAAAAAAAAGCTTAAGTGAATAGACATAAACACTGGTAACTGATGGTACATGGAGGGGATTATAATCATTGTAATGACACAAGGTATATGATTTGTTGAATGTAAAACTGATTATCTGCCCTGTGAACATTTACTCAATAACAATAAGAAACCTTTTTTAAAAAAAAAAAAAAAAAAAGCACAAAAAAATGGATAGGCTCCGTAAACTCTTCCCAATGTTTTGCTTGTTAAAAAAAAATTTTTTTAAATATTCCTCAAAAACAAAAAAAAATTTTAAAGTAAGTGTACATGTGTGGGTTGTGGTGGAAAGTGAGATAGAGAACAGAGCAGGGTAAAGGGGATTCAGATTCAGTATTCTCCTCTAAATTTAAATTTAGTTTGAGTTGGCTTTCATTTGAGGGCAAGTTTCAAAAGGATCAGAATTCTCATACCCTTTTAGTCACCATTCGTAATCCATGCAGTCTTAGACAGATCATTTGCCTTTTAGAAAAAGCGACTTGGTGGCTGTAAGTGTTCTTTTATCTCCTGTCATTTCATCCTTTACATTTTCGAACACTCAGTATAGCTGAATGAGCAGCTACCAAAGAAAGATAATAATCTAATTGGTGAGTCTATGAATTAAGTTTCAGAGTGAAGATCTACTCTCTCTAGCCCTATGTTAAGCTCAATTAAAAAAAAAAAAAGAACTGGCCTTTTTTTTTCTGTGAAATACTTATTCATTAGAACTCCGCCTTCTGTCAAGAAACAGAGCATTTCCTACTTTTCTACTGTCGATCTGTCTGATTTGCACAACTCAGCTGGCCAGAGGAGCTGAGACATCCGTTCCCGCTACAAGAAACGCTCCCTGGTAAGTAACCTCTTAGCCACTTTGCATATTAGTTAGCTTGCCTTCTGTGATGAGTAAAAGTCTTCACAGGAAACTCATAGATACCACTTGACACATACCAGGTGCTCAAAGAATTATCTGAAAATGTAATCTTTAAAATAAGGAATGGGTATGAAATTTCGAATGAGTCTCAGTCTGGGAATAGTATCAGAGGGAGCCAATATGATTATGAATGAAAGATTTTAAATGGAATAAAATCATAATTTAAAACATAAATAAATCCTCATCTTTCAGAAGAAAGATTTTCAAAGAGATGGGTCTTGGCTGCAATCTTGGCAGAAGTTCTCTTCTGCTAAAGAAAACTAGAATTCCCCGTACAGACTGCTGGCTAACGACTTGCACAACCCTAAGTTAAGTCTAAGTCTGTTCTTTCCTTTCTTTTACTAGATAAGGGGGAGCCTAGTACTTGCCCAAATTAATATCAAATTCCCAAATGCAAATTCCACAAAGTATTTTCTGTATAATTTTTTTTTCTGGCTTGGAATTTAAAGCTGGTGTTTTTTCTGAGCGCTTCTCCCAGCAGCCTAATCTAATGAGGTATAGAGAGTTTGAGGCTCACAAGGACTAATTAGAGAAGACGTTCGTCTAAAGAAGTGAAACTTAATGGGACTGACCAAGCCTGATGGTTATGAAGGGAAGAAACAAATCTAGAGTACCTAGCACTTGCCTGTGGTGTCAGATGAGAAGGCTGGTCATTGCCTGTGTAATTCTAAGGGCTATTAATTGTGACAATTCAGGAAGCCCAGAGAAAAGATTAGGATGGCAGTCTGGATTTTACAAATGGACTATTGACTTGTATGGCTTTCATGAGGAACTTGGGCATCCATCCATTTCATTCAGGCTACGACAAGGCACCAGGAACATGGTAGCACCGTAGAATAAGCACTGGACTGCAAACCACAAGGTTGATAGTTTAAGCCCAGAAAGATTTACAGCCTTGGAGACCTTATACAGAGTCACATGAGTCAGAACCAACTTGAAGCACTTCACAACAACGAGGCCCCACAGTCAGGGTCTGGCTCTTTAGTTCCTTTCCAAAGAGTGAAAGGCGAAATGGCATGGTGGTGATGAGTACAAACTGCCTGTATTCAAAATCAGTTGCTAACCAGCTGTGTGGCATTCTGTGATTGAGGTGTGGGGTCTTTGCCTGCAAGATGGAAGCATAATGTCACCTCTGGCCTTGAGGATTAAGTGAATGGGTACATGTGAAGCTTAGAGCAGTGACTAGGCACACTCGAGGAACATTAACAGTAGGGCCAACCTGCTTCAGAGAGGACTAATTCCAGGGACGTGGAGAACACAAGGCCAGTTGGAACTCGACTTGACTCAGTTCCATGCAGTTGTTATATAACTTCACTTCACATTGCTATAGAAAACCAGCAGATTACATTTGGTGAGATGATGCTTACTTGAATTTTCCCAGCAAGCCGGCTTCTCCATCTAATAAGCAGCAAAAGAAGTCAATTGCAAATCTTCCCTTCACTGCAATAGTTCAGCATTTGACCAAAAGAAGGAGTTCAGCTCAATGTAGAAATCTATATACAAAGCTGAAAACATGTCTAAAACATGTATGTATTCATGGGTTTAAATCTCCAGCCTTTAAGTTAGTTATTGTTGTAGTTAAGTGCCATCAAGTTGGTTCCAACTCATAGCTACTCGGTATATGGTTTCCAAGAGTCCTGGTACCTGGTACGGTGATGTAGGATAAGCACTAGACTTCTAACCACAAGGTTGGTAGTTCAAATCCACCAACCACTTCTGGAAACCATATACAGGATTTCTAAGCACCAGAACCCACTCTGCAGCACTTAACAGCAGCAGTGTTGAGTTTCTAAGGAGTAGTTGGTGTATTTAAACCAACAACCTACCAGTTAGCAGTCTAGTTCTTATTCTACAATACCACACTGGGACTCCTTTTAAGTTAGTAGACAAGTGCAAACCCTCGGTGCTACTTAGAGATCTAAATATAAACATTCTGTTGTTGCTGTCAGCTGACTTCAGTCAGTTCTGACTCATGGTGAGCCCATGTATGCAGAATAGACTCTGCTCCATAGGGTTTTCAAACCTGTTGCCTTTCAGAGGATCACCAAGCCCATCTCCAAAGGCACCTCTGTGGGTAGGTTCAAGCTGCCAATCTTTAGGCTAGTATTAAGAGCTTCACTGATTGTGCCACCCAGGGACCCATATGCATTCTTGGGTTTTATAAAAGGTGACTTTTTCTTTATTCACAGGATTGAGCACAATGGAGTATGAAACGTCGAGTCCTGTGACCGACTACTATGATTACACTGCGTCTGAGCCCTGCCATAAAATCGATGTGAAGAAAATGGCAGCCCGGCTCCTGCCCCCGCTCTACTCACTGGTCTTCATATTTGGTGTCGTGGGCAACATGCTGGTCGTCCTCACCCTGATAAACTGCAAAAAGCTCAAGAGCATGACTGACATCTTCCTGCTCAATCTGGCCATCTCTGACCTGCTTTTCCTTCTCACCATGCCCTTCTGGGCCCACTATGCTGCAAGCCAGTGGGACTTAGGAAACCAAGTATGTCGATTTATCACAGGGCTTTACTTTATAGGTTTCTTCTCTGGAATCTTCTTCATCATCCTCCTGACCATCGATAGGTACCTGGCGATTGTCCATGCTGTGTTTGCTGTAAAAGCCAGAACGGTCAGCTTTGGGGTGATGACAAGTGGGATCACCTGGGTAGTGACCATGCTTGTCTCTCTCCCTGAAATCATCTTTACAAAATCCAAAAAAGAAGGTTCTCGTTATACATGCAGCTCTTATTTCCCAGTAAGTCAGTACTATTTCTGGAAATATTTCCAGGCATTAAAGATAAGTATATTGGGCCTGGTCCTGCCGCTGTTTGTCATGGTCATCTGCTACTCGGGAATCCTAAAAACCCTGCGTCGATGTCGAAATGAGAAGAAGAAGCACAAAGCCGTGAGGCTCATCTTTGCCATCATGATTGTCTACTTTCTTTTCTGGGCCCCCTACACCATTGTCCTTGTCCTGACCACCTTCCCGAAGCTCTTTCACCTGAATAATTGCAGTAGCTCCAACAGACTGGACAGAGCCATGCAGGTGACGGAGACTCTTGGAATGACGCACTGCTGCATCAACCCCATCATCTATGCCTTCATCGGGGAGAAGTTCCGAAACTACCTCTTGGTATTTTTCCGAAAGCACATTGCCAAACACCTCTGCAAACATTGTCCGATCTTCCAGCGGGAGGCTCTGGATCGAGTAAACTCAGCTTATACTCGATCCACTGGGGAGCAGGAAATCTCTACAGGTCTGTGAACTGGACTCGGCCATGCACACAAATCAGTTACACACAACCTAGTGGTGGAAGAGACTCTCAAAAGGGAAGCTACAGAGGGCCTGAGAATCATCAATCTCTTGGCATCCATTTTAAGAATATTGGATATTTTAAGCTTATCCATCCTAGAAAGTTTCATCTAAATATGTTGATGAAACATCCACCTTCTCATCTCCCCTCCACATATAACTAATGATTGGCAAATGCTTCCTTCACTGCAAGTGTCCATTATCAAAAAAAAAAAAAAAAAGTACCGAGGGACATGCTGGTCCTTGAGTTTGGTTTCCTGAACAGGAATAAGAAAATTAAGAAATTTATTGTAGCATGGTCCAACCTTGTGGAGAAAGTTGTGAAAATGAGAGCTAAGGAATGGCATCTGTCTTATGTGATTCCCCTGGAAGGTTTACTCAGAGCTGTAGCTGAGATTTGACAACTATGGGACATACTCGGAGCAGTTTCTATGAACCCACAGTGGCTTCCATCTCCAGTTGTGAGAGGTCACTCAGCAAATTAAAACTAATGTTTTCACATTTGAAAGCTTCTCTGGATCTAGACAGACCATGGGATCTTGCTCTGCTGAGCATAGATAGAGAAGAAAGTAAAGTAAAAAAGAAAGATGCTGACCATATCAAAAAAACAGTTTTCATAAGTAAAAGCAAAGAAGATACTGCTATGATTTTCATGGAGCACTATAGTGTGTTCAGTATATTAACGAGCTTGACTTGTATTTTTGAGCTGATACTATAGTAAACTCATCTGAAAGACGGGTGTCAGCTGTTTGGAAAGGCGTTCTTTACGGTAGGTGCACCTCTGGGTATATGTTGCTCTACCACCCATAAGAATTCAGAGCCAGGCGAGAGACTGCAGCCTGGGGCAAAGTGGGAAAGCTTCTTAATGAGAAGAATTTGATCTGGGCACTGTGACAGAAGAGCAGAAAACACCACTTCCAGTGGAAGTCTGCATGGGCAAAGCTTGGCTTGGGGAAGACATTGGCTGGCTGGGGGAGCCCGCAAGAAGGACGAAACTAGATCACACTCCATCCAAGTCTATGAGAAGAGAAGGGAGACATGGCCAGGTGACCTGGGAAGGTGACTGAGTAGGGTCCAGAAGCACTCAAGCCAGAGAAAGGGAAGAAGCACTTGTCATGAGAAGGAGGGTATATTCATACAGCACTCAGGATGCAGAGTCAGCAGGACTTGAGGTGCATTCAGGGTAGGGGTGAGGGGCAAAGACAAGACAGAGAGAACCCCTATATTCAAGAGTGCAGGTTGGAGTTGCCTTTAAGGAGGCATCATGCATGGATGGGGCAGAGGGGCTTCAAGATGAAGTTGGCATCAGTGGATGAGTTTTGAGTTGTGAACTTAAACCCAGCTTCACATGGAGAGAATTTCAGTGTCATTGGTTCACTGGTCCTGGCCTCAGGGCAACCCCTGTCATCCCAGCTCAAGGAACGAGGCGTCTCAGAAGCCCCTGAACACCAGATTTATGAGGATGGGAGCTTTAAGTCTAGGAACACCCTTTTGTTCAGATATGAGACCAGGTGAGGAATGAATTGTGTCCCTTCAAAACATGTGTTGGAATCCTAACTCCATACCTGTGGATGTAATCCCATTTGTGAACAGGTTTTTTCTGTTGTATTAATGAGGCTGTTTCAGTGTAAGATTATGTCTTAACATTACTTTTGATATACAAAAAGGGCAGACCAGACACAAAGAAAGCATAAGAGGGGAAGAGATAAATGCCAGGCAGAGATCGCTGATGAACCCCAGGGCTAGAGAAACTGAGGCAAGGACTTTCCTGCAAGGCCAACAGAGAGAGGCAGTCCTCCCTTAGCGCCCACACACTGAATTTGGACTTTTAGCTCCTAAACTGTGACAGAGTACATTTTCAGTAAAGCTACATACTTGTGATATTTCTATGACTGACGGCAGCACCAGATCACTGTGGCAAGCAGTTCCTTAAACTCCAGAGCTTTGTCAGCACTGAGCAGAGTCCTGCAAGATGAGGGAGGCCAGGCTGACTAAGATTCCGTCTGCAAAGGACACACCGCAGCAGGTCTCCTTTTCTGGAGTCAACATCAAGAGGTAGAAGGGAAAGGAATACATTCATTTGGAAACAGACTACCTTCAACTCTATAAACCATACACAGTACACTAAGCTGACCTCTGTGTTTCTGGCTGAGTGTGGGGGCTTTAGGGACTGACACTTTCTGGAAGCCTTCTCCAGGCAAACCATGCTCAAACACTAAAGGGCTCCCTCATTTCAAAGGGAGAGTTAGGATTTTTTGTGTTGTTGGTGCAGCTCTTCTTATGTAGCTTTGTACATCCCTGACATTGTTGTGAGCTTTTGGGTAGCCCCGAACATCATAATGAAGATTTGATGGGGAAACAGACAGGAGTGAGAATCACTCAGGGAATTAAAGGTGTTAGAAATACTAAGACATGCTACTGATTTTTCTTAGACTCTGAAACTGAAACTTCTGAGAGCTGTGGCAATCCTTTGTAAAGTGCTTAGAAGTTCTCTGTCTTTGTTCTTAAGGTTGTTGCGATTTCTAAGCAAGTTATATGAGTGCAACCTCCGGGTCAATTCAAAGACATTTGATCTGTGTGCCTTTTGATCAATGTGTACATTTTCATGTATATATGAAATTACAAATTGCTTAAATGAAAATATGCATCGCAGAGAAACCACCCTCTCCTGCTGTGGCACTTTAGGATAAGCACTGGACTGAGAACCACAAGGTCAGCAGTTCAAATTCATCAGCTGCTTCTCAGAAACCCTATACAGGATCACTATGAGTTGGAACCAACTCAATGGCACTTAACAGCAATAAACATAGCTTACTGTGTTCTTGCTCTGTTGCTCACACGTACATTTAGAGAACAGCTTATAAAGCAATCAAAGTAAAACTAACAGTCTTCATACATCCCAAACAGTCAAAAATTACTTTGAAAACCAAAATGCGACAATAAGGCGGCAGAGAAACCAGACTGGTGAAAACAGAACTAAACAATGAGAATGTTCGCACGTTGCTTTCTGAAGAAATCATTGTCACTGAAGTATTTAAGTAGAAATTGTTGAATGGGAGCCTAATCTGCTATGTAAACTTTTACTGAAAATACAATAAAATGTTTGTTTGTTTTAATTGTAAATAGATCTTTTGGAAACATCCTTGGGATGGGTAAAATTAGAGAGAGAGAAAGAGAATTGTAGTTTCCTTTAAAATGTTTTTAAAAGTTGACCCTCGCCTTAAGACAAATTGCCAGAATCATGTGTATTTGAAGATGATGCCTCTGAGCAAGTTAACTTGAAAACATTTTAATCTCAAATTTAATTCCCCCCCTATAGTCGGCATTGTAAGATAAGCACTAGACTGTTAACCATGAAGTCAGAGGTTCAAAGCCACCAGGTGCTCTCAGAAGCCCTATACAGAGTCACTATGAGTTAGAACTGACTCAACAGCACACAACACTTAAGCAAAATAGTTGGCAGGTTTCAAAAACATTAACTGATGTGTTTAAACGTATATCATCTGTCTATGTTTGAAAATGAAGGCAAGTGTTAAAAGATAGAAAAAAAGGAATAGGAGTTGACAGATTCTTGTTCTAGGAGAGAAAAGAGACTCCCTCTTCAAATATACAAAGACTACAAAGACTATTCAGTTTTAAACAAGAGTGAAAACAAGACAACCAAATACACCTCACCTGGGTAAGGGAAATCATCAAAATGCCATGATGCAAGTCCAAAGTTCTGCCTCCACATGGTGATCTTTTATAGAGCACAGAGAACAAAGGAATCTCTTCCCACAGCTACTACTGACTTGGTCCAAATAAGCAGGGAGGAGACTCTTGTAAATAGGAAAGTTCTTCACGTGGAAGGTGGGTAAAGTGGCCCTAAATCCTTTTTCAAACACTCTCTGCTTCTGACTCAGCAGTTTGGTCATCAGAGATGCATGAGATTGTTAAGAAAAATTGACATCTGAACCCTTTAATCCTTAAAGCAAGATGGAACTAAACTCTTCCCAGCTGGAATCCTCCATAGGCAAAAAGCCTTCGGATTTCAAATTCTAAAGTACTCTAAGTGTATAAGAACATTCACAAAGGTCCATAGCCAATGTGAAATGCACCCAAGAGCAGATCAAAAGACAGAGTCATAATATCGCAAACCTTTTCTGGGATAACAAAAACCAAACCAAACCCAGTGCCATCAGTTGAATTCAAATTCACAGTGACCCCACAGGACAGGGAACTAACCCCCATTGGGCTTCAAGACTATAATCTTTAAGGAAGCAGACTGTCTCATATTTCTCCCTTGAAGTAGCGTGTGGTTTGAATTGCTGACAGCTGGATTAACAGCCCAGCACTTAACCACTGTGCCACCGGGACACCTTTTAATCATAAAGCCTTTTAAAGTTTATCTTGAGCAAAGAATTTAACATTAGGTGATTTTAAATGAATAGTAATTATAGAGACCACCTAGTAACTCCATGTCAGCTGACCTCAGAAAGGAAGGCATGATTTCAATCAGCGGTGTTACACTACCAATGGTTTATTGGTTCTGTTTTCTCCTTTCTTTTTAAAATCTCATTGAGTCAGTTATTTTTTAGAAACAAAATGGTCTCCTTGTATGCATACAGTATAGAGGAACAGCTCAAATAAATCCTGGGTACTTTATTTGCACTTTAATTTTTTTTTTTTCTTCTTCTTCACAAGTAATCCCCAATCCTGAATTGCAGGCACATGATGTGGGAGGTTGAGGCTGGTTGCTATAAAGGTTGTTTTCTTTCATCTCTTTCCCTGCACAAAACCAGTCAGCAATCCAGAAGTAACAATGGTGAATGTTTGGATTCAGTGCACAAGCTTCTTATTCTGAGTGAGGACAGGCATCCTAGGTAGAGAAGACTTGAGAGCACTGAAAGATGACAATGAGTCAAACAGAGGCTGCTGGAGCTTGTTCTTAGGGTGGCCTCTAACACCACTTA